GGATTTTCAGCTTCCTCTTCGAATCTCGAATCCGAAGCTGAATCTTCCTCGATCTGAATTTTTTTTTTCCCCGAAGAATGTCGTCTCTGTTAATCTAAGGTAATTCCTTCTCCGTCCATTTTTCCTTTTCGGATTTCTAGGGTTTAAACTCACTCGATTTGCTCCGGATTCTCCTTCTTCTTTGATTGATATTGTTGTTTTCAAGTTTAATTGGTTGATAATTTGGCTGAGAGATTTAATTTTTCGATATTCCTCATCCATAGACCATAGTTAATCTGCTTTGTTCTAGCGAGAGTAGTATCCCGAGTTTGATTTGGGTTTGGATTGATGATTTCTGTTGTTTCTACTAATCGTGTAGGTACTGTAATCTATGGGTAAGTGTTGTAGTAGCTATCACTGCTAAAGAGAGAGCAGTATCTGCTTAATCAATCGAGAGGGGGTCAACAAGAAGGCGAACGTATATGGGGAAGGTATCTCCAAAGGACTCAGATTCGAAAATCCCGACGAGGAAGAAGAAGTCGAAGAGTTCGAGTAACAAGTATTTAAAGCCAGGGGCATTGGTTCATCTATGTTATAGCAAAGCCTCTGCTGCTGCTACTGCTAAGTCATGCAATGATTTTGGGAAGAAACGAGTACCTGTGTTTGATACTAAGCATGCAAGGAACAATAAAGTGGCAGTGGAGCATATCAATTCTCCTAAAAGCCCTCTAATTTCGTCGCCTGTCAACATTGTTAAGCGGAGTAGTCTGGTGAGGCCAATGAAATTTGATGATCTGCAGGTAGAGAGTAAGAGTTGTAAGAAAAACCCTTTAATGTTATCTCCAATGGGTATTGTTATGCAAAACACTTTGCTCAAGACACCAAAGACACCACAAGCTGATCCTTGCAATTCAGAATCTCAATTTGAATCTCTTCCCATGGATTTACTGGTAAATTGTTTCTTGTTCCTTCACTTTCACAGGTCGTTTTGAATGTATGGAGTTAGCTCTTAGATAGTTCGTTTCACAAGCCTGTGGCTTGCTTATTTTGAACTTTCTATGTTTTACAGGTTAAAATAGTTTGTCATCTGCACCATGATCAGCTGAAGGCTGTTTTCCATGTTTCTCAGAGAATAAGAAAGGCTGTAAGTGTTCTATATTTGCTAGTTTGTATCCATAAAAGCTCTATCTTTATGCTTTTTTTAACTTCATTAATATGTTATGAGTTCCTTTTTGAAACAGACTGTGATTGCAAGACAATATCATTTCAATTATACAACACCAGACCGCTCAAGACAGGAAATGTTGAGTGTCATGACCCCAATGCCAATAAATCGTTGGCCATTTATTAGGTACATGTTTTGCTTCAAACTTTAACCTTTCAAAAAAGAGCATCAAACAACTTGTTTGACTCTTCATTGATCTGATAAACAGCAAAGGAGATGGAAACACAACAATCATACCAAGCCCACATACCCCAAAAGCACCAAGACATGCTCCTCGACCGCCTATTCGATCCAAACTCACAGAGATGAAGCAAATCACTGCTGTTCTTTTCCAAGACCAGACACCATTCCCTTCAAGATGCATCGTTCCTTCGGTTCTCCAAAGGTCGACTCTGTTCAAACCAATGGCTCCAAAGCACCCTCGAGTGCTCTTCTATGAGGATGAATTATGTCAAGCTGTTGCTCAAAACAACCTTCGCTGATTGCACTTGTTGCAGTCAGATACTTCATGACCCTATCCCCTCTCTGTTTATATATTAGGTTTGCCTTCATCGCCTTTG